CAAAAATAAATAAATGTTGAAAACAAAATTAAAAAAAAAAAAAAGATAAAAAACTTCTGCACAGGAAAGGAAACAATAAACAAAATTAAAAGGCAACCGACAAAATGGGAGAAGATATTTGCAAATGACATATCAGATAAAGGGTTGGTATCCAAAATCTATAAAGAACTTACCAAACACAACACCCAAAAAACAAATAATCCAGTGAAGAAATGGGTAGAAGACACAAACAGACGCTTTTCCAAAGAAGACCTCCAAATGGCCAACAGACACATGAAAAGATGTTCAACATGGCTCACCATCAAGGAAATACAAATCAAAACCACACTGAGATACCACCTCCCACCAGTCAGAATGGCTAAAATTAACAATTCAGGAAAATACATGTGGAATTTCAGAGGATGTGGAGAAATGGGAACCCTCTTGCATCGTTGGTGGGAATGCAACCTGGTGCAGCCAGTCTGGAAAACAGTGTGGAGGTTCCCCCAAAAAATTAAAAATAGAACTACACTATGACCCAGCAATTGCAATAGTAGGAATTTATCCAAAGGATACAGAAGTGCTGGTGCATAGGGGCACATGCACCCCAATGTTTATAGCAGTACTATCAATAATAGCCAAATTATGGAAAGAGTCTAAATGTCCATCTACTGATGAATGGATAAAGAAGATGTGGTTTATATATACAATGGAATCTACTTGGCAACAAGAAAGAATTAAATCTTGCCATTTGCAACAATGTGGATGGAACTGGAGGGTATTATGCTAAGTGAAATAAGTCAGCCAGAGAAAGACAGATACCATGTGTTTTCACTCATATGTGGAACTTGAGAAACTTAACAGAAGACCATGGAGGAAGGGAAGGAGGAAAAATTGTTTCAAACAGAGAGGGAGGCAAACCATAAAAGACTCTTAAATACAGAGAACAAACTGAGGTTGCGGGTGGGGGATGCAGGGGAGAGGGGAAAGTGGGTGATGGGCATTAGGGGAGTACTTGTTGGGATGAGCACTGGGTATTGTACATAAGTGATGAATCATGGGAATCTACTGCTGAAGCTAAGGGCACACTGTATACACTGTACATTAGCTAACTTGACAATAAATTGTATTTAAGATAATAAGAGAAGATAGAAAAGAAAAGAAGAGGAAAGGAAAGGAAAGGAAAGGAAAGGAAAGGAAAGGAAAGGAAAGGAAAGGAAAGGAAAGGAAAGGAAAGGCAAGGCAAGGCAAGGCAAGGCAAGAAAGAAGTGTGCCTCTTAGACCCTTTCAGACAGGAGGGCCTTTCTCCCAGCTCCCTGTTCCTCAGTGTAAGGTAGGGAGGCACCAGTCTCAGAGAGATTTGTTAAGTGTGGCTTTTGTCTAATTAAGTGAATTATAAGTTGATACACAAGAAGTCCACAACCTTTTTCCTTTTTTAAAAAATTTTTAAATGTTTTTTAAATTTATTTTTGAGAGAGAGAGAAAGACAAAGCATGAGTGGAGGAGGGGAAAAGAGAGTGGGAGACACAAAACTGAAGCAGGCTCCAGGCTCTGATCTGTCAGCACAGAGCCCAACATGGGGCCAGAACCCACAAACTGTGAGATCATGACCTGAACTGAAGTCGGAGGCTTAACCAACTGAGCCACCCAGGCACCCCAAGTCCACAACATTTTTAAAGGAATTACATAAGCTTTGACTGAAAGGGATAGAGACAATTCAAACAAAAGAAGCTTTGGGTGATCGACTTCCTTGGGCAGAAGGCCCAAGGCTGAGAAAGCCGCTTAGCTACAAACACAGACATTGCGTACAGAAAATAAAGAGTTAAAGAAAATGAAACCGAGAGCCAAGAGAGTGGATCCAAGAACCACTTATAGGAAGCAGAACTGGACACTAGTCAAGAATCTGATGGCATGTGTCTGACTCAATTTCAGAATTGCTATGGACCAATGGCACTTTTGTGCCTTCAATCTACCACCACTCTTTTTGACTAGGAGTATTTATTACCTGTCTCACCTTTGTGTATTGAATCTGTTCTTCATAGATCCTCAAGTCAAGGAGAAGCACTCTTGATGAGGTACATGCAGAGATGACATCCAGATTCAGACCTGACATGGATGACGAGCCCCTTGGCCTCACATTGATGCCTTAATGAGGTGGATTTGGGGAAGAAGGTGACTGCATTTTGTACATGGTTGCTAGAAGTCAGACCATGGTATACAGTCTCCAAAGATGGCCACTGTTAACTTCATGCTACTGCTCCTCACATGAAAAGATGGGGCCTAATTCTCTTCTCCTTGAATCTGGGCCAGCATAATGACTTACTTGATCAACAGAATGCAGCAGAAATGACGCTCTTGGATTTCTGAGATAAATCTTAAAAAGCCTCATAGCCCCCTTTGGGGCCTCTTGGGCTGCTCACTTTGGGTACACTTCCTCTCAGAACCTAGATGCCATGTTCTGAGAAGCCCAAGCTACATAGAGAGGTCACAGGTAGGCATTCCAGCTGACTCCCAGCTAACAACTGGTGCCAAATGCCAGGGTAATTGAGTGAGCTACCTTGGAAACTGAATTAATTTGAACTTTCTGGTGACTCCAGCCCCAACATCTGTCTTCAACTGCATGAGAGGTCCCAAATGAGAACCCCATTGACTGATTACAGTCTACTTATAGAACCTTGAGAGATAATAAATTTGTTTTAATTTACCAAGTGTTGGGTGGTATGTAATGCAGCAATAGGGGGCCAGAACAGCATCTCTGAGTCTGAATTCTGAATCTCAGACTTATTTTATAAGGCACTTAAATGCAAATTTCTTTATGCCATTGTTAGTCAGGTTTCCTGTGCCTTACAACTGAATACAGTCGTAACTGGTAGAGAATTTGGTAACTAGAAATGGGAGCCACTAAAAGAGAGAGAGAGAGAGCCTAACATGTGTAATTAATTGAAGAGAGAAAGAATAAATATGAGGACCTCACCTTTGCCCGCTGGAAAGTCAGTGACTTTGTTAGCAGGTGGCAAAGCATTTGGCTGTCACCTGATGCACCACAGTGTGCAGAACAGATGGCAACCTTGCTACAAGTTTAGGGAAAACGGTAGAAAAAAATCAGGATGTTGATATGAAGTAGCACCTGGTAGTTTTCAGTAGAGACACACAGAAGAAGAATGAACTCAAACTAGAGCCAATCTAAGAGCAAATATCAAAAGAAATACAGCTTTGCTGAAATAGGGCCACTGCCTGTGGCCTGCAACCTGACAGAAGTCCTCAGTGCAAAGGTCTGCCAGGTGGATGAGACTAACTGATGCCTCTTGAGCTGATTCCAGTACAACTGATTGCTCATAGTATTGAATGTCAAGGTCTGTCCTTTGTTCTGAAGTTATATCCTTCTTTGTTGGGACTTTATTTTCATGAAATGACAGCAATGGTAGATGGTTTTGCCCCTTTTAATATCGTCATGGGGGGGGGTGGAAACTTTAGCAAACTATCTCAAATTTTTACCAGTATTTGGAATCCCAAAGTCTGGGACCTAAGGCACAGCTCTGGCCTTGGTGAGATTTCTAGAAAAGTCAGGGCCCAGAGGGGGTGGGATCCAAGGAAGACCTCATTTTCCAGCACCCCAACTGAGCCAGCCAGGGTATAGGGCATCAATGAGCAAGTAAAAGATGATCAACAGAAAAGTTTATTGAGTATAAAAGGGTAAGGAGAGTCCTCATGGGCCCATCAGGCCCCTGGTAGAGTGAGAGCTTTGCTTCAGGGCCGGTCTGGGGAGTCCTGGAAGAAGTCATTGCACATGATAGTGACCAGGGCCAGAAAAACAGCATACTCCTGGAAGTCCACCTGCTGGTCACTGTTCTCATCCAGGTCTCCCATCAGCTTCTTCAAGCCCTCCTCATCCACCTTCTCCTGAAAGCAAGAGGGAATGACTCAGCAGGTTGCTTTCCACACACCCCTGCGTCAAACACACACTTACTGGTCAGAGCCCAGCCCTCTGTCTGCACTGGGCAGCAGGCAAGTGGTGGGCAGGGAGCCCCTGGAAGCTACAAAGGGGCCCTGTGAATGAGGACAGGTAGCTGGATGTTCATCGGGGAAGGTCTCCAGTGCTCACTGCTGGGAGTGAGGAACATGCCAGGATTCCCTGGGCCCAGCGAGGTAGGCATTATCACTACCCCCATTTTGCTCATGAAGAAACTAAAAATTTCTGAATTCAGAAAAGGAAAACTTTTTAATACCTGCCAAAGTGAAACAAAATTAGAAAATTTTAACCAAAAACAAATTTGAAAGGAAAAAAAGGCCATGCCTCACAAGTTCAAAGCCTTAGACCTGACTTCGTAATTATCCAGGAGTCACTATGGGACAGGTGAGGGGCCAACTGAAAGTTGACTGCATTTTTCTGCAAAATGTCCCAGGGTACATGTGTTAGCTGGGCTTTTCTGTCCCTATACACCTTCTTAGTTTGGCACATAATATGGAAACTAAGATTGACAGAACTGTGGGCTCTTGGGCCAGTCATTTCCCCCTCTCTGGGCTCTGGTTTGTTCAATTCAGGGAGGGGGTTGGACAGATGGATGCCGAGGGCCCTGACAGCACACACACCCATCCTGTGGCAAGCTGCAGGGACAGCAGCGATAGGACACTCACACTTGGGCCTCACCCCCTTGGTGAGGCTGTACCCCATGTTTGGTCAGCAGGACCCTCCCACCAGCTGGCCCCACTCACCCCAACAAAGCTGGGCAGCTCCTGGTGCAGAAGTGCCTTCATCTCCGCCTTACTCAGCTTGAACTTGTCACCCTCTTGGCCTGAGTACTTGTGGAAAGTGGTGACCATCACAGCCAGTGCCTGCTCCAGGGGACTGGACATCTTGGATCTGGGGCCATAGGATTGCAGGTGATGGAGACAACTTCAGCCCAGCCAGGGGGACCCACCTGCCCTTGTGTCCTAAACTCCATCTCATCTCCAAACCCCTCTCCACATCGCCCCGGAGACAGGGCCTTCCTAGGCAGGGCCCACTATGGACAGATGCTAAACCTTCCCCTGTGTTTGGAAGTCACCAAGGGAGGGGCCTCATGTCTACTCTGGTCACACTTGTGGCACACCCCTGAGGGCAGGGCTCCCCACTCTGTCTGTGGGAAGGGAAATGGCAAGGTGGCTGGAGTCCCACTTGGGTCCTCTCTATGGAGCCCCTTCCACAGGCCAGCACTGGGGAGGTGGCCTCTCCATGAGCCAGTGAGTGGGGGCTCACTGGGCTCTGGCAGTAGCCATGGCTGCAACCCAGGGTATGAGCTTCCCTGAGGAAACACTTCCGCCCCCCACCCCCACCCCTCAAGACAACGGACTCCTAAGGCTGGGGGTGGGGGGGGGGGTGAGACTGGAAACGCCCTCGGGCAAGTATGTTTCCTCCACTGGACACGGGACTCTCAGAGGGATGTATTTCCCATCACACTGGAGACCTCTGAGCCAAGGGGTGCTGTCTCTATTGGATGTGGAACCAGGGAGCGTCCTATTGGGATTGGAATTAAAGAAATTGCGTGTCCTATGCACCAGGATCACAAGGACAGAACTGAGAGGTCATCTTTTCCAAGGCTCTGCCTCTGAGAATGCTCTGAGCAGCCCCAGGAGGCTTAGAGGGTGTCCTGGGGTGAGGCCACAGTAGCTGGTGTCAGGGGCAAGGACAGCCCTGGGCCCATCCTGCTAGCTCTCAAGGCAGAGGAAATGGGAAGGGGCGGAAGGCAGAGCTATGGAACTACACAGGACAGGGACCCAGGCAGCCCACACACTTGACATCCCTGGCCCTTGTCCCTTAGTCTTGCTAGAATCCTGGACTTTGCAAAAACAAAAAACAAAACCAAACAAACTCAGGACTCTCATTAAAGCACCCACACGCATGTCATATTCCTGGGCCAAGGCCCCCAAGAAGGGTCTCTAGACTGAGATGCCCAGACCGTGAGACCTAAGAGAAGGCCACAGAGTAACCCCTAAATGAGACCTCACAGAGGAACCTGGAAAGAGCCCTCAATCAGACACTTCACAGAAGGTCACCCAAAGGGAGAGGCCCTGAATGAGAAAAGCAACTATGGAGACAAAGATTAAGACAAAGGAACAAGGTGGAGACCCAGGGGGCCTCCTAATCAGCCCTCAGCAGGACAGACACACTCACCAGACCAGATGGCAGAGAGGTTCTGGAAGGAAAGCCAAGGGCCAGGTGCGTACAGTGGGGTTTATATCCCGCCCCACTGGCCCCCAACCTGCCCTAACCTGATCCTGCCAAAGCCTGGCCTCCTGCCACCCCCACCCACTCCCTACTGGCCCCCTCCCTCCCAGAGACTGCTAGCTCCAACCCAGCCTGCCAGCCAGAAGAGAAGGCCCCTTCTAGGCCACAGAGGGGGCTGGGAGGCACCATGGGGAAGGGGCAGCCAGGACCCAGGGTGAGGGGAGATAGCCCCTGTTTGTGGGCCTAGAGACTCATGCCAGCCTTGCTCTTAGGACACAGGCCTTCGAGTCACAGCTCATGTGTGAGTCAGGCTACAGGCACCCAGGGACTTCCCAGACCTCGTGTGTGTGTGTGTGTGTGTGTGTGTGTGTGTGTTGAGTGTGCGAGCACGCATGTGTGCACACGCGCGCGTGTTCGAGCTGACTGGGGCGGGGCAGGGAAGCTTCAGAGCTGGCGGCACAATTCTCCTTGGTGAGGTAATGAGGGAAGCATGTGCCTGAAAACACCTTGACAGGCCCCCTTTGGGTAGGGAGGCGCCTGGAAGGAGGCAGGAAGGCAGGGAGGGACACCAGCAGCCCGGGTGCACAGTAAGGAAGCCCCTGCAGGTTTGGAAGGGAGAAGGGAAATCTTGGCGCCCTTCTCCAGCTCCGAGGGTGGGTGAGTAAGGAGGGGCCGCGGGCGGGCCTCCGCCCTCCCACACCCCATCCCTGCAGACTCCTCCCCTTGCCCAGAGAGAGGCAAACACGCCGCGGGGGCGTTCGGGACCCAGCCCAGGGGAGGGGCTCTCCGGGAAGAGCTGGCTTCTTGCTGCCCCCTCCCAAGCTCCCCCTCTCCCCCCACCCGTGTGGGCACCGCCCTTCCTGCCGGCCCATCTCCCCTCCCTCCTCCAGATGTCCCGAAGCCTCTTCCCCTCCCCCAGCGCCCCCCCCCCCGCCTCGGTCCCAGGGTGACTCCACCCACCCTTCCCAGCCCAGATGCCCAGGCAGTGACTCAGCGACACCAGCCTACTCCCTGGAGGCCAGGGCAGCGGCGGAAACCCCTACCCAGCCTGGGAGGAGACCCTTGCAAGTGGGAAGGGGGCCCTGGGAGCTTTGAGGTAGACAGCACAGAGGAGCTGGGGCCAAGGGCTGACGGGATCAGAGGAAAACCAGGCTGCTTTCTTCCAGGGGTCACCATGGGACTTGGGGCAGCCTGAACCGTGCAAGTGAAGCCAGGCCTTGGAACCCACATATTTGCACAGCCACCCAGTGTCCCCTCCTGTCCAAGCACTTGGACCCCTCATGCTACTGCTCCTCCCTGTCAAACCCTATGTCACATAAAGCCTGAAATAAAGTCTCTCACCCCAAGGGTAAGGCCCACTGTCTTTCAAAGCACTTTGTCCGTTTTCACTCCGGACCCGCTCACATGGGGCTCAGACGTGGCAGTGGTGCCCACGCCTTCTCCGCCAAGCCTGGCAGTGAGGTGCGTGGACTCTGCCCCCCACCCTGCTTTCCAGCCTCCTCTGCACACACCCTAACTGCCTGCCCATCGTCCCCGGGTGCGCCGAGACCCATCGCTTCTGCTCACCCCTGCTCCTGTCTGCTCACCACCTGTCCTCCTGCCAAAACCCCAACGCTCTCTCAAAGTCTGGTTAGGTGCCACCTACTCCATGGAGGGTTCCCAGGCCCAGCCAGACTCCACATCTACCTGCTGTCCCACACACGGGCTCCTTTTGTCCTTGCGCACTAGACAATCTGCCCTGGGTGAATCACTTGAGGGCTTGTCTTCTCTTGCCCTCACCCCCACATAGTGAGCTCACTGGGCAGGGACTGGGTCTTACCCGTTCCTGCAGGAACAAAGGGTCTCACCCACACCCAACCAGTGCTTGTGGTTACTCAAAGCCATGGGGGGCACTGGGGAGCCCCCCACTGGGATAGTATTTAAGAGCCAAGGGGTGTTCTCACCTCCCAACATCACACCATTGGTTCTGCTACCAAATCAAAACTTGTCCCGATCCCAGGAGTGGCACAGAGACACTGGGCTAGAAAACAGCCACAAACCCCTGGGGAGGCAGCTGAGCTCCCCCAGCGGCAGGGACAGGGACCTGGAAGCTGGGAGAGAAGGTCAGAGAGCCACAGCAACAGAGGGACTGTGAAGGGATGTGAGAGCGGAGAGCAGCTCACAGCCAGGGTCAGCACCCGGACACCTGTCCCTAAGCAGGAGGCCGGGCCGGGATGGGGCCCAGCAAGTGGCTGTATTCCTGGGCCGGGACATCAATTTGCACTAACGCACAGTGTGACCTGAGCAACTCCCTCCCAGCCAGCAGAACAGGAGGGTTGAATAGAACGGCCCCAGGGTCCAACCCCGGTCCACATCCTCCCCGTAGCCCTGAAGGCAGAGAAGCCGGTCACAACCGGGCAGCGGGCACCGCCGGGCCTTGGGCACGTCCCTGGCAGTGACTCTGCCCGTCCCAGCCTGAGATGCTGGGTCCAGGCTTTCCCTCCTCCCAGCTCTGCAGCCGCAGGCGACCGCCCCCGGGGTGGCTGGCTTTCCCCGCTTGGCTCCTGCCCCCTGGTGGTTGAGACCTGTCATTGCGGGCTGGTCCCTCCCTGCTCCACGTCCTCCCTCCCACCTGACCTGTTCCCCAGCCCTTACCTGCCCTGCTCCTGACTCACCCAGGAGGAGGCAGTGCTGACTCACCTCCAAGGGGCCTTCCCACACCCACACCCTCACACCTGCCTGACTTGCAAGGTGTTCCCTGGACAGCCTGCTGAGCAGCACAGGCGGACTTCTGACGGAAGCTGGATGAAGAGCCTGGGGTGAGGGGCTGGGCACTGACCAGCTCTGCCCACACACCCCTTTCCCCAGGGCCGTTTGGCAGAAAGAAAAACGGCTGCAGGGTTGGGGCTGTGGGCCCACCGTGAGACCCCTGCCAGGGCCACCACACCTCCGAGCCTCCACCCTTTCACCACAAACATCTACTATCCTTCTATCCCCCAAAATATGCTTTGAAATATTTTCTCATAACAAACTGCATTGAATAATTTGTCTAACTACCCCTGTTTGCATGGTCGGCACCAGAAAGCCTGATGATCCCACCATGCAATGAGCTCGTGCTGGAGGGGTGCGGGGCTGAGGTTACCAGGCACAGGTGCCAAGGCGATCTCGGCGTATTATTCCATTTAACTTACACCACCATCCCGGGAAGCTGGTACAATCTCACCCACTTGACAACGGAGGAAACTGAGGCTTAGGGAAGTTTGCCCAAGTTCACACAATTAACAAGATACGGCTTGCACATAGGTGGTCAAATGGTAAACTCCCTCTATAAGCCCCAATCATTAAGAACCCCGAGAGCGCTAACCTTCCAATTTCCACACTGACCACCCTCGGTCTCTCTGCCATTCTCTCCCCACACCCACCCCTAGCCTCTTGGACTCACTTCTCAACTTCACCAGTGCCCAGGGGCCCATATCCTGCACCTGCTCTGGTCTGGCATCTCCAACCACCCCTCTTCTCTTGCCTCCAATTGCACTCGGCCTCTATTTTAAGCAAGCTTAAAAGAAGCCTTCACCGGACCTCCCACCTCCCTTAGGACCCCTCTTGGCCACAAATAACACCACCAACCACCTGATGAAAGCCGGCTGTCCTCCTAGCCTCCTGCTTCCCC